GGAACTTTGCTTAGATCCACTGCGATCCTTTAACCCTTTTTACTCAAAATATTTACATTTAGATTTTATTTATGACCATCGTATAATTCCCACTGAGAAAAAATTTTGCTACCTCTCTCGATAAAATCGAATGTAATCAATACCTGTACACGTTACCAACTCTAATGCAAGAAGCTATGAAGCAGGTGGTATCCAAAACACTGTCAATTGTTTGAGTTATGTTCCACACAAGCTCTAACTTAGCCCAAACAAGTGGGTCAGTGACTTGTATACCTCTGTCAACTTGCTTATGTATCCGCGGGCAACGACTGCTTTGGTTGCCAGCAATGCGTTTTGTATCCATATTTGTTCACAACTATGCGATATCGCAGTAGGTCAATAAAGTGAGGCAATCTCGCGCCTGACAACCAACGAGAAACTTAACTTGGGATGTTAAAAATGTTTTAACTTGAGAGGATATAACTGTCCAACTCGGAACAGAAATAGTCAACTAGGTGGACAAAACCTATGAGGAATGACAAGCTCGATTTTGTGAAGAGCACTCCATCAGCTTGACATAATTTATGATAACGTTGGAATTGTATATAATCGAAGCACAACATTTATGAAGCGGAAAGCTGATCATATTTATGCCTCAAGCAAGATAAACCGAATGACCTGGAAATGGTGGCAAGCATCGATTTACTCGGTATGATTTAGATCGAGATATTTCATATGTAACGATTTGGTTCATGTCAAAATCAAAGGTGATTTTGATATCGACTAGACAAAACGTACCTTGACGAGTTGGCGGGCAAATAATGTTATGACTCTAATTAAAACACACTAGTAATCTAGTGAATAATAACCCTATCAAAAGGTGATTTCGGCAAGATGATAAGTGAATGCGAGGGGCAGCATGAGCTGGTTAATTACACATTGATGTCACCGCAACTGAGATTGCAATAATTGCGTTGGATGATTGGCCCACACTAGCTCATGATATCAAATAAGCAATTGAAATTACTCGTAAATTTTTGTGAGGAGCCTAGTGAAAGTGACATTAAAGTAGTCTTCTTTAACTCGTTATGTTACGAGTTGAATGCCACGATGACGTTTACAGCATGAAAATTTAACACACATCGCCGTATTCGGTTTCAGCAGATAGGCTGTGCTATCTACTTGTGATGAAATCGTGCATGGTACTCTTGCCGTATCCCCTATATTGCGGTAAAGGGAAGTATCGGTCACTTGAGTCTCTGTGACTAAAGCAATTCATATTCACGTTTGTTTCTGTGCGCGAACATAGAGACCAATATTATGTCCTAGTGAAAAATATCTAATTGGTTTCTTAAAAGTTTGGAAATAAATTAAACGCAGGGTCAAACATTACACCAAAATCCATTGTCCCGTTTATAAAAGTTGACATTATACAATACATCTAAATGCTCCTTGTTGAATGCGCCAGTCTCTATACTTAGCCGTAACATGAAATACTATTTTACAATCGTCGGGTAAGTTTAAACAGACCTCACCCAGCTGATTAAATATCGATAAGTATGCACATACTTGAGACTTGAAGTAATTCTGCTCTTTAATAGCAAGCTGATGCTCAACGCACATGAGCTACTTGTGATGCACTCGCGGATAAGCTTATATGTAGATGTTCATCTACGTAAGATATACCAGCGAGTCCGACAATAAGTCAGTAAGGTTTGTACGTCGTAAAATTATAACAGTTAAGGTAAAAACTAGTAAAATATATGTTAAGCAGTCCTGGGAGCAAAAGGACGGATAGATTGACATGATGGAACTGTTTCTTGCTCTCGAAAAAGTTGCACCAAACACATATCTGCATTATTAAAGTACAATCTCTTTTAAAGTAACGCAATGTTTTATTATGCTCAACTCTATAACATTGATCTAGGGTTGGGCAAAAGTTGCCAGCGCAATCGCAGCTGCTGGTTTGCGGTATTAACCCATTCAAATATGTGTCACTAATTGACGATTTAGTAAGGAATGTGTAACTCACTTGGCTTGTGACACGCATTCGGGTCTCTGTAAAAGTGTGCGGCATTTACTTAAATACTATGACTATTATGCGCATCAGCACCAGGAAGGAATAGACATTTTACACCAGATCAAACATATATTCATTGAGTGTTAGAGAGCAGATGGGAGGTCTCGTGTCGGCTACTTCACTTCACGATCTTCCAAGGATTTCAGACTTTGTAAATTTTAGAGTATTCACCACAGTAGTTCACAAGCTACAAAGCACAGTCTAGTCCGGAAAAGCACTAGACGCGTGTCTCCCTTTTGTGGCTTGTCAGTGGTGCGCAATCCCTCGGTCCCCTTCTGGAGATCGTACTCATGACTTATAGAGGCAGATGCCAACTAGCCAGCAACTTTCTGGACTAGGCTGTGGTATATAGATTGTGAACTACTGGGACGAATACCTTAAATATTGCAACTAATATCCTGCAACGCAACAGTAATATAAAATATATAACTTTTCCTAGTTTCAAATGATATGCATATAGCTTCTAACAAAAGGAGGTCATTACCTCGCAGATTAGCCACTGCCAAAGACAGTGGAAGATAGGTGGGGCTATATCCCTGTTAGCCTGCAAACTATGTAGCCCAGCCAACATACCCCATCGCTCAGCGGCTCAAGCGGCTGGCTAGTTGGCATCTGCCTCTATAGGTCATGGGTTCGATCCCCAGTAGGGGACTGAGGGAATGCGCACCAGAGACGAGCCAACATAGGGCAAAAAGCGTCTGGTGCTTTTCCGGACTAGGCTGCACCATATAGCGTATGAACAACTGGGATGAATGCCATAAAAATTACAACTAAAATCCTACTACTCAAGAATAATATAAATGTTGCTTTTATCATTTGAAGATAATCAGCATCTCATCGGCCCCGAAGCAATATTATATTTTGCCTAATTACTCAAAGGAGGTTAGGTGCACATAATGGAAGGTCACTACTTTGTAATAATTCAGTAATCAGCAAAATTGTAAGAGACCCGAGATTTGTATTTACTTCGCAAGATATGGTGAACTTATCGAGCAGTCAGGATTAACACATTATGTTATGAAGGAAAAATGTTTGTTTTAATAACGTCAAGTGAAAATACCGACATTGTGCGCCTACTGTGCGGTGGAACTAGCAATGAGTGATAGAAAAATCGGGAATACGTAGTGGTGAACAACGGTTTAAAAACTCTATTACATTTCCGTTGCGTCACGACAGCTCAACCACCTATTTTAATATGGTTCAAGACTGTAACTTAGGTTGTAACGGACACCATTTAATTGAGGTTGTAATACATACGGCACCAATAGATGACACCAGACTGGGATGTCTTAACTACAATTGATTAAACTAAGGAAACCTCAGCAACGGTAATACGAATAATGATAGTTCGCTTTTATCCGCACAGTAAGCCGTCGCACATTTCAACTTTCACCGTCACACTATTAATTGGACTTCATTTCCTACAGTTTTATCCGGAGGATATTTTATTGAAATGAGTAATACAGTTTACATTTGGGCACCAAAAGCGACTCTATGAACATGCTACTTAACTCATAGCTTGGTGCGAAGCGTTATCCGTTCACATCTTCGTTTAGGAATTAATTACCAAAGACTGTTTTTCGGTGTTTCTTAACGATCACTGCACTTCACTGTGATATTTGTCACCATTCCGAACTATTCAATATCGTCGTTCAACTCTTTATGTGAATGACATGATATGAAGAAATGTCAACCCGCCCCTCGAGTGTTTACGAGTGTGTGCTGGTTTTTCACTGCCCAATTTGAAGTGGTTCCGAGGGTGCTGTAATCAATGCTTAATTGATGAATTGCAAAAGTGCACCTTTCCGTATTCTGAAAACGCCGGATAACTCTACGAACAATCGTACTTGTCTTCATCTCATCCGCTGCGAGTCACATAACCCTCTGTCCTCTCTGCTGATTTCAGTTTCCGGCTGACTATTTGACTGTCATTTCGGACAAAATTTTGTCCAGTTTTGACAGGCTTGAAACAGGCTGCACAATATCCCCTGTGTGGAGTGAAGTGTTATGCAGCTGCGTCTAGGTAGACGATTTCGAGTAGGTACGAAGAGAAATGTGCAGACGTAATGACTTTATGCGACGCGGTGCGGTATACTGGGTACAAAATGGCTAGGTCATCGGAATTGTTGCAGGCAAATACGGGGTGAATGCAGTTACTCCAGCTGATGACCCTAAATGGTTGTTTGCCATAACTGCTACGTAAGTACCATGAATTTAATCACACAACGATCAATGGAACCATTATTTCTTGCCTAATTCCAAACTGCCAGTATTCTGCCATAGTTATTCAGTCGATTTTGGTTTCTAAAGAGGAGTTCAAAGGACTGTCTAGCATAGACACCAGTTCAGATACAAATTTTTCAGGTATTGATCTAATGAGTTCAGTGATCTCCTAATGACAACCACTGCCTTGACGCGCTCTGAAGTAGAGCAGTGGTAGACATTATATTGCCGTGTGGTGAAATTCTGTGACCCGAATACGCATAATTAAAGTTTGCATATACTTCACTTTACTTTTAATGTACTTTAATATGGTAAGGCTGCTTTAACAAAACCATGTTGGCCACGGCCATACAAATGGCTTTCAAACAATTGTCTACAGATTTTTGATATTTTGGCATTATTTCTCAAGCATAGCGGTTGCTTTGTGTCACAATATAAACAGGAGTAATCGCAGTAAATTATATGTATAACGGCCAGTTGTTCGTAATGTAGAGCAACTTTCATATTAGTGTTATTTAATATGCATTTCCATCTACGTAAGCTGGTTATTACGCTTTGTGCATTAAATTCCAAACCTGATCTTCATATAAATATCTTGCATAGCAGAATAAGTTTCCAAAACTCTTCATTATATTTCTGCTTCATGGTTTTAAACTGATGTGTAATTGCGTGTGGCTATATTTGAACACTTTCCACGCTTCGCAGTTTAACTCACTCAATGGACACCGATAGTTTCGTAGACTCGGACTCCGTGACTCCAGTGCTCAAGAGAACAGCTGTGAAATTCGATACTACCGCCGACTCGCGTAAATCCAAAACGCTGCAACAGCACATGCACAGGTGCTCTAGTATTGCTGATGAAAGAGTGTGCTCAAACTATACGGATCTCAGTTATGCTCCATTTGGTTTAAAAAATACGGATTCGGAAGCTGCTGATAAAACAGTGGAAAATTTGAAAATGATCACATCGCATTTGAACAAACGAATGGACCGGTGTGCTATTCCTCATGGGTTTGTACTGGACCCACACTATTTTGTGACGCACCACCCAGGTGCACTTGGAGAATCTCTATCGAACACCACCGTGCTCGGCGATTCGATATCATCATGCCTATTCGAGGAACAAACAGATATACCACATCTAACCGGAACAGTTGGTCTTGACCGATTTGGACGACAGGTGAACTCAATAGAGGAGAAAAATTCAAAGGAAAGAGCAAGCCTTAGTCATGGTAAGGACAAAGCCCTTTCACTGTCAACTTCATTAACACAATGGTATGAAACTGCACTAAACGTGAGCGTCAGTATAGCTGAATACCTTGTGCTCGTTTTGTTATTATGAAAAGTACGTAGTTTTTCGCTGTTGCTAGTTCCTTGGTACGGATTTCAGGGGTTATGTTTAATTGTAGTTCTTTCGCACTGCACATTGGCTTTATCGGCCCCATAGTATTTCAAATTTAAACAATATTAATGCATGTGGGTGTTAGCCTGAAGCGCGTGTTATGTCACAAATTAAAGTTACGCTTCCTTTTCTAATTCTACCTACTTAGACTAAATGATTAATTGCCATCATAAGAAAATCCATTAATACATTTACTAGAATGAAGTGCATCGAATTTTCTCTTTTAAGTCAAGAAAGGACGCAGTGCCGAAGGACGATGCCCCATTCGAGGTTGCGATGGAACAGGTCATGCTACTGGACTCTACTCATTTCATCGAAGGTAATTCAATTGGAAGTTGCTTTGTTCGGATTCACATTTTACTTAATTTTTATCAAAATTTTCTCCAAAACAGCATGAAACCAAGTTAGAAGACAGATCATCCTATATTGACATACACCACATTCATCACGAATTGCGCAGTTTAAGAGAGACTCACCATAATATTATTACATATAAACCATCGATAGCGATTTGCTAGGTATACGCTCAGCAAATGATAATTTGTTAAATAGTTCATTCTCGCTAGAGGCGCATTCTGTCTTTAGTAAGATAAACATCAAATCGAGTCGTTTGTCACGGACAATGCTCAATTCAGGAGTAGCATTTGCGCACGGGAACTTTTCTCTAGCAATCTCGACTGGGCCTATTGGAAAGAGTCTTGGTTATCAACTGCAGGTACACAAGCTGCTTCGTTCCTATCCACAGGTGAACCGAACTCAAGCGAAATTGCTTGTACGACTGTCTTAACTCGTTGTGCCACTGTAATTACCCCCATTTTTTGCGTTAAAGGGAACCATCATGCACATATTGCAATTTCGAGGCTGAAAGCTTTAACAGTAGCTAGGAAGCCAAGAGTTCTATGTAAGTAACAACATATGGAAGCAACCCAAATTGAAGTGAAAGACACTCACCCCATACTGATGTTGACGTTTTAGAAATGACATGGAAGCCCATTTAGTTGTAGAGCTGTTTACGCACCGATTCCGTACGGATCAATAATACAAACTAGTTAACTAGATGAACACGAAACGTGTTTCCTGCAGATTGCGAATGTGAATTACAATCTAGCATGCAATCTGTTCATTTAGCGCAGAAAAGGCTTTCTAACTGATGTGACAAATATTGCTATCTGGCAATGGCAATTCGATTATAGCTCAAACTGTCAGAGATGCATAATATATTATATCTCCAGGAGCACTGGAATTATAAGGCTCATTTTCACTATTATATTACTAGTTATTTCGCAATCACCATCATGTAACATGATATCGATGCACTAACCGAATGCTTTCAAAGCAATATCGCCTCTTGTTTATTTTTCTTAATCGTCAGCGTTTCTGGATGTCCAAGAAAAGACAAAGCAAGCGTAGCTGGTACGTCTTCTTCCAAACAAACTTCTGTAACATCAACAAGTTTGAGTTCTCTAATCCTGTGGCAAAGCTGTAACAAAGCTCTGAGCAGCCGTGCACAGTTTAAGATAAGTTTCGAGTAGGTAAAATTAGCCGCGATGATTTACAGTGTTGAGAGCTAGAAATAGACTTTGTTTGAATTTGCATTTTGTTTCCCTGAAAAACGATTAACCTGATGAAATCACTAATGCAAATTAACGCAAAAATGGCGATTTCGATTGTTTCAGAAGTGGATCTACGGAGAGAGCGGTACACACTTTAAATATTACACACGGCCAGTGATACATTGATCCTTATCACCTGGTAGTCTAAATTGACTCTAGGTTATAGCTGTTGGCTGAAGATTTCAGTTCAACTGCATACTTATTTAATGCTCACCGTGCATCTTTGCCTCAGTCATAAGTAGAGACATCAATCATTGCTGCCGGTGTATTGGCACATGTGGTTGTTTGCGCAAAGCGGATTATCAAATGATCGGTTGATGGTTGCTATAAAAGCGGAATCTACTAGTTAATCGTGAATTCACCAGTCTACATTTACAAGTCAGCTACGGAAACAGATTAGCATTGTATCGTCACAGCAACTTTTGTCTACTAGGCGAGCATATTAGGCGCCAATTGTGCATTTTAAGCGAAGCATTTACTCTACTTCGATTAATTAAATCAAGCCGACGTCCGGTTTTGCGTGCAACGCACCTGCACCGAGTGTACGCACGGCTGACGATTGGCTGGCACATCCCCAAGTGCATGTTTATATGGTTAACATAGAGTGTAACAAAAATATCTACCGCTAACCGTTAATTGGGGCCAAGTGTTAACATGCTAGTCTAGAAAATGCGGAACGTGTATTTGTGCGACGCATGTGCTGCGGAAGTCGGGCACCAGGAGAAGACGATTGTGACCGCAAAGTGGTTCAACTCCACATATTAAGACCTAGACAAACTCACGAATCACATGTGAAGTGACGCGTGTGGATGACACTGTACGGTATACATACGTTTGAATCAAATGTGGTTACGAAGTGTTAAAAATGTGCGCAAGGCACTGAGGTAGTTCCGATGCATCCGCACTAAATCATGACAGATGTCCTGTAAGGGCGGTGTCATCCTCGCACGCAACATTTTCTACGGTGCAAACCAAGGCACCATCATTAAGAATGCATAGTTTGATGGTGGGTATAAAGCTCTTCACAAAATCATGAATCTAGGTAGCTGTGTTAATGGATGTTTATGCAGCATTTCAATGCTGTCTTATCAGTCAGTCTATTAACAATGTAATAAACAATGAACTGCAAGCCTTGGGTTGATCCATGTAACCACAATGCACAAATATTACGTTTAAAGCATGCACAAGGTAGAAATAACCATCCTTGAAAATATGCAGTATCGTTCTGGATCAGAGGTTCGACTCTGGGTCAGTGAGTCCGTGTATCGACTTTTTTCTTTGTTCTCGTAGAATGGAATACAGGGATCCTGGCACTGCTCTCTGTTGTGACCTTCTGAATAGTAATCTACTACACTGCTATCGAATAAGGGAAAAGATACACTACTTTCGGGGGTGGTTCTGTGTTGCTCCTCCCAAAACTGTCACCACATAACCGGTTTCGTCCTCGTTTGTACTCATCAGATGGCGACACCATGATGTAGGTTGGAACTCGGGGCTTTACTGCTGTGCAGAGCCTTGTTCACGGCGCTACGAGCCATAGTGATCAAGGCGTCAGCCTTTAACCACTATTCCCCGTGTTCCGACCCAGATCAAGCTATCAACGTCTGATGAGTTCAAACGAGGAGGAAACAGCTTATTGGATATCATTGTTGGGAGGAGCAACACCGAATCACCTCTAATTCGGCTCCTGTACTTGTTATCGTAATAACCGAGGGCTACTTCAATCTAAACCTAGGTTTGAAAAGTGATTGCGTATCGCAATAAAATCATACCGGGGTAATTCAAATCCAAGTTTAAATACCCTTCTTCCGTTTTCTTAAGCAATTTATCTCATAAGGTGCTTGACCGTAGGCCTGCCGAAACAAACAATTCGACTTCAACTGTTATACTCCTGATTATTGCAGAAAGGGTTCCAGCCTTCCAGCCTGACTGAATTTAAAGTGGCGCGCTGTGATTACGTGGTGAATCACAGCTCACGATTCGCAGCGAAAACAATGTGTTGATGCTTGTGATGTGAATTTATCTCAGAACATCCCTAATCTATTTGACTACGGTTTTGCACAACAAACCATCGACGAGCTCCCTATGCCTGAACGTCACTAGAATTATCGCGGTCTAACCCGGATGCAAGTTCCCGGTCTTAATTCGACAGGTACGAATATCATTAAACCTTTGAGAGATCAGAATTGCTGGTTGCTAAAAGGCGTTAAATCTGGGCGGTCATTACTAAAACGAACTTTAATATGCAAACATTGGCATGCAAATATTCTATTCAGAATCTGTGACAAACAGCATTTCGTATCCATTCCAGGATGGATCAGGAAAAGAGACCAAAAGTTGGACTGTGTCTGGCGTCTGACAAGAGTATTATGGCTCTGCAGTACTCTTACGGTCGGAGTTAAATGTGTCAGAACTACGTTTTACGGCACCCTAATACTTTGAAATACGTAAATCGAAATGAGAATGATGATTGCATAGGTCAAGATAAAATGTTTTAGCAGTTCGCATTAGATTCCATTGAAATTAAAGACAGGCTAAACAATAATACTTTGTTGGGGAATGAGTTAATGTGGCCAGTTGAGATCACCTGAACATTTTATTGAATCTCACACACTGAAAGCGAAAACGAAGGATTGTTAAACTTAATACTACTACGTACATTTGTTTCTGACACATCTTGTTATGGTGACTTGACAATTAGATTTTAACTTAAAATTATGAACCCCGGTTTTAAATTACGCCGTTCAAAAAGCTTTACAAATTTTAGCAACTTAAGTGAGATGTGCATCATTAATTTTGGTGTTACAATTCCAGCCATGCAGATGTTAACTGTGGTCGAATCGTTCCTGTGCTTTTCAGAACTAGCGTTATATCATCAAACGCTGCACTGTCCCACTCCAGGCTGTACTGGTCGAGGACACGTGAACGATAGCCGATCGTCACATCGCAGGTGAATTACAGTTACCAACATTGTTGGCCATTTTGCGGTTTGTTCCTCAGGTTAGCTTTTATGAGCTTAAACTACCATTGGGTTACAGGGTCTAGGTGACATCTCTAATTGAGACACTTGTCAGTAAAGTAATAGAACATTATCACTTGCAACTTCTCCCCATCCAAGTCCCACATACCAATTGTTCTCATTACAAATCGTTCATCACGGCGGCCGCTGTATTACTGCAACACAAAGTGCTGTTAGTTTATGAATTATCTCTGAGTG